CTCTGACAACGTCCCTGTATTCCTCCCAAGTGGCCTGTCCCCTTTTCCACATTCTGAGTACTTCCTTCTTCTGCTGGAGTTTTGCCAGGAGTTCCTTGCTCATCCATGCAGGTCTCCTGCCCACTTTGCTAGACTGCACTTTGCAGTCTCACTAGAGACTCTCTTGGGTAGAAGACTGTGCAGGAGCTGATAATTGATAAAAGGAAGTGAGAAAAGTGCTCTAGTTCCTTGGTACCTGCTCCAGCCTTCCTTGAACTTTCACTTACATTGTGCACTATTGGACTTGTTTTGCCTCACAAATATGAAAATGCTTGTAGCTAAGACAGGAGGCCCATAACACAAGTTACGAACTCGGTAGAATAAATGTAGAAAAGCTTTAGTAATGATTGCTTTTTTGGTCCTTCTGTTGGGTATTATTAGAAAACAGAACACATCTCCATCAATTTGGATATGCTTTCTTGTATTGCTACAGCTTCAAAGAACACTTATTTCTCCCAATGCAGCTAACATTTTGTATTCCAATCATTTTTTTTCTGAAATAGGCCCAAAAGCTCCAAACTCTCCTTCCTATTGATTTTTGCTTAAAATATTTGTCTTAGATATTTCTCTCCACTCCAACGAAACATCTGAGTGCTCCAACCTGGAAAGACCTTATAAGAAAACATTTTCATATAGAAAGCATCTTGGTGACAAGTATTTTGTGGAGTCGAATCAATTAATGTGAGTAAACAGACTGCATTTTTTAAACTATTTCTAAGTTTAAATTACTGGAAATGGATTTGTAACTAAGTTAGGAGTACTAAATGACAAAGAGTATAAAACTGCTGAAGATACAGAGCTCGGTTTAGATAAGAAAATTACTTTTGTTATGCCAAAACAGTATTGCCTTTTTTTACTTAATGGACTAGTCGTTCTGTTTTCGGTAATATATAATAGATATTTGGGGTTTGATTCATTTATGTTCTAACACTTAGTTTCAAAAGCTTACAACAAGGATGAATTTGGCCCTCCATATTTATTATTTTACTAACCAAAATGCACTAAAAATCCTGGAATTTATTTCAATTATATAGATAAGTGAAATGAATACTATGAAAGAAATTGGCATTTATATAGCACTTCTTATTGACAAAGGATCTCAAAGCGCTTTGCTGACAGCCATGTAAATTTCTAATTAAGGATTCTTTTTCTGATTATTTCTATTTAAATGGGTGTCTTTTTAATCACCAGAACGTTAGGCTACAGTATATTAACTATGTCATACTCCAATCTACAGCCTTGCAAATTATGAATTAGATTTGTAACCCCCTACTGTGCTAGCTGAATCCTTAGTCAAGTGAATAATCCCATTGAAGCCAATGATGCTACTCACATAATTGTTTAGTAGTATATTAAAATATTGTATAGCTTAGACCTGTGTAAGTCTTAGGCAATCAATATGGATTATTCTGCATTTGTACATTTTCCTTTCAATTTAGTAAACCATAATGCAGTTCCATCAGAATAATATTAACTCATTTTTCGTTTATACCCTAACAGAAAGATTAACCACTCCATCAAGAGGGATGCCATCTTGAAAAGAGGATGATCCATCACAGAAACATGTGTCAGTCCTCATGCTCTGTAAGTTGTTATTGGGCAATGTTGTGGATGGCTGAGGTGTTGCTTCTGACTTGTTGCACTGTCAAGGCAGAAACATGAATTATTTTACAGATTTTCTTGTCCTCAAATAAGGAGACCCAAGTCTGCTCTTATTACAGAGTATCACTACATATCACAACTTCTTATGTGCATGTATTCTAATCTGCAGATATAGATGGAGAAGGAGTTAGATACTTAATTTGCTCTTGTTCAAGATCTTGTTTAGATCTTGCTGATCTAAATGCGTTAGAGAGGCGGTTCCACCAGAGGTATATAGATGAACAAGAGTCTTTCTTGTTCCCCATCAGCTAGAATAACTGCTTTTAAAAAAGAAGTGCTAAAACTTAAATGGCTTGGAACAATTGTTGGTGGCTCATTAAAAGGGAAGCGAGAAACTTCAGTTTTACCTTTCCATAGCAATGTTTTAAAACCAAAATTCAAATTTAACTTTGCACTTGAAACTTTCCACATGTTTTAAGCTATATCAAGTTCTTCAATATGTTTAAAAGAGAGGTGAGTACCTCACTGCAAATGCACTGTGACAGAAGAGGAAGATGAGATGGTATTTCAGGATTAGGACTACATTTATGAAGGCAGAATGAACCTCAACATTCTTGTTTTAAGAATTAGTAGAATTCAGAAGCTTACACTTTTAAGACCAAAGAGAACTATCACAGTCCCTAAATTGATCTCCTGAATACCACAGGCTATAAAAAATCATCTAGTCTTTCTCATGTCCAATAAAAGGTCCTATAAGTTTCACTGTCCCTCAGCAAGGCTCTCCTGGCAATAGAATGAGAAGTGTTTACAGAAGCAATGGGTATTGCAGTCATCATTCTGAGGTTTTATACTTTTCACCTGCATCTATCAGTTCTGCATTTCCAGATAGCAATTTCATTGTTGACAGCTCACAGCCACTGGAGAGCTGTTACAGAGTCTCTCATTCATAGGGCCACCTTTGCAAGAAGATTGCATTTGGTCTTTCAGCACCCTGGTTTCCATGCGTCTGCTCTATGTGCCATTCCTCCTTGAGCCAGTTTCATCTCATATTCATGTTTCATGTTTTCTGATTTCAGCAAAACTGTTCTGGATTTTTCATTAGGGCAACTGAGATAAAGGAGATGGTGAAATGTTGAAAGCTTGGTCCTGTTAAATTACCATCAGAGTATGTCTTCTAGTTACATTAACTTTTAGATTTCCTGTAGGAGCAAACTTGAGGAAAAACTTGAAAAATAAGTAGTGCTGCAGTGAGGTAGCGATCATAACAAAAGCCGTGCAGTAAACATGCCCCATTTTATAGTGGTAAAAAGAAGAATAGATTCCAAGCAATTGGTTTGGTGTGTATTACCAGAGTCTTCTAACTCAAGTGACCAGGAAGGATACAGATGTTGTTGTCATGCAAACTTAATGTATATTTATTTTACAAGGGAAGTAGCATGGAATAGGAATATTTTTTTACGTGATACTCTACCATACATCCTGCTTAGAGAGGACAACCTCCTTTTTTTTCTTCAAGTAAATCTCTTCTTTTCCCTCTGATGCTACCTCTGCACCACTTCCCTTTCCTGAGGCAGGCTGCAAAAACTAAAAGGTCCTTCATATCTTTAATATGCAGATGAGGTGCTATACAGAGGCATCAAATTACTAATGCAGAACCCAAGAACAAGGCATGATTCATTCATTCTTAGTCCATCTAGTCCTGCACAACTATCTGATCAAGGTAATATTCAAGGAGGATAGTTTTGCAGTGTAATAATAATTTTTATGTAACTTTTTTCAAACATGTTGTGTATTTTAATATTGATGCTAATTTTTGAAGGAGATAGATATACTTTAAAAAACTAGATGATGAAGCAAATCATCCACTAAGTCTGCTTCATCTCTCATGAGCATTAGAATGAACTGTTAAAATTTCCAAGGTTGGAAACCAGTTTGATTTTTGACATCTTGTAATGGACATACGTTAAGTTATAGCTAAGCACAACAAACGTAACACAATGCAGAGACTCCTCTGAGGCAGCACCCAAAGAGCTGGTTCCAGAACTGGGAGCAGAACTCACCTGAGAGACCCCTACCTCCACTTAATGCTGTACCTGAGCTAAGGTACTGTTCACAAGGCAGTAATGCAAAGCTTAGATGCCTGTACCAGTCCTGGGATTTCTTTCAGCTCAATGGCATGTTGCAAGTCATAGAGGTATTGGCTCTTCTGGAGATAGCTGGGGGGTGTCTAATCCATCACATTATTAGGTACACCCTGAAAGCAAAAAAGGTCTTTCTTTTTCAAGAAAATTCAAAAGTTCAAGTTTTGCCATTGACTTAGAAGCCAAAAACAGGTCATTGATGCTGAGAGGCATTTGTTGGGGTGCAGTATTAAACTATCCTTTTGAAGTTTTAGGAATTCTACACTGGAAAGCATGTTGCATGACAATGTGATTAAAAGGACACTGTCTTTCAAACAAGAGGCAGAGATTAATGAGTCAAGAAAAATGATGGATTACCCAGGCAAGGACAAGATGCATTTGCCCAGTGTTATAGAGGAATGGCACCAGAGAGCTATGAACACTTCAATAAGATAAATGCAACAGGTTTTTTAATTATTATAGGCATGAATAAATAAAAAATCTTAAATACACATATGCAAAAATTGTAATAGGGGTGTCAGGAGTATACTGGGATATTGAAGTTCCCTGCTCTGTGCTTATTCCATTTTACTACTTGGGCTAAATGTACAGTTCATTTTTTGGTAGTTGTAAACATTAACTGAAGTGCCAGTTTTGATGCCTTGAGACCAACTGTACCATTTTTACAATACTCAGGAGGAGTTTACAGTGGAGTTAACTCTCATGATAGTGAGGCGGAAAGCAGTGCAGGTTTCAGTTTATGGTTGCATGTGAGCTGTGCAGCTGCACAAAGCCTGTACTGATCAGTGATAACAATTTTGCTATGCTTTGGTAAAACAAAAGAAAGGAAGAAAGAAACCTCTGTTTTGAATTGGCAAAAGGCACTCTTAAATAGCAACATTGAAATGATTTGATTGTTTTATATCAGTGGAAGACAAGACAAACAATTAGGTATTTTAGTATATGCTTTTCTCATTTCTACTTCTGGTCAGAAAAAGCTCGTGTTAATTAGGGAATAAGTGTGTGGCAGGCAGGATTTTGATGCTTCCACAACAGAGGATCCCATAGGAACCATGAATCAATTGCAGAACTGAAGTGACATTTGACTCCAGGAGATTATGAATGGCACAAGCCTGGATTCAAAATGTCAATAGGATTTTGAACTGGCAGTAGTAAACCAGACACAACTGTGGGCTATTTCTGACATTGAATATGTATCTGACTTGGTACAAGTTATTATAATTACAGATGATTACAAGGGTTGAAAGTTGGCACTGGATTAGTTATGGGTGAGATCAAAGATATTCTACAGCACCAAAGTGGTAGTCAGAATGACTTTTATATTGGATTAGCCAATCTCTTCGTTCGCATTCTGTTTATAGATTTAAATTTTATTTCTGTCTCTAGGCCTTGTTTCCTTCTTCTTTTCCTCCCTTTTAAAAGTAGTTTCATCATTGTTATTCTTCATGGAATTAAAATCCTTTGTACTCCATACCTTTTTTTGAAGTTGCATGCATCTCCCTACTAATAGCCTGTGCACTGCTAAATAATCCATGCCAGACCTAGTACACTTACTCTTTCTCCATTTGTGACAGAATTAATGGTAAGAACCATTTTGCTACAGTTGAGTATAATTTCTTATCTTTCAATATAATTAATGTCTGACAAGATATTATGCAAATATTCAATATTGCATTGAAAATGAAGCCTTCTAAACATTTCCTAAAGTTGCATAATTCATATTAGTTAATTAATATTGTGCTAACTATACGACCTGCCCTGCTCTGTTCAGTTTAAATGTTTCCAGGCTGGTAACATTTGAGTGTTTTGGAAACCGCACAGTGGGAACTCTTGAAAGCCAACAAACAAATCCAAAACCCTCATCGATTTTCAATCAACTGCAGCAAACTGGGTCAGAGAGCAGGAGCTCTCCCTGCCTTCATGATCCTTCATGCCAGGCATCTGGCTTTTCAGTTAGAGCTGGCAGGGAGAGGCAGCATGGGGAATCTTGGAAATGGTTTTAAAATCCCCAGGGATAGCAGTGTCTGTACAGCACACTTGTGATGTTTTTTACGGTGCTCCTGGTTTAACAGTGAGCCTAAGAGCAAGGTTTTCTTTGCAAACATGTAACATTTCTGTTGTATGTGTGAGAACCCTGGCAGGTGGCAAGTTCCCTTCCTTCCCAGGAAGTGGCATTCAAGCCATAACACAGCAGGGAAATTAATACAAATGGAAAATCTAAATAATTTTGCTAGGGTATAGCTTTGCAGTTCTCACTGGTACTAATGGTGTAGCCACAGGACTGTGTCGCTACAGGCATTTTAGAATTTAGAAACAGCTAAGGGAGACAATCAGAAGACAAACTGAGCAGAAACAGCTTGCTTAGCTTTCTTTCCATCCATATGTGCAGGTAGTATATAGGGCAAAGAAAGAGTGAAACAGGGACGGGAGATCCTTTCATTTGAGCAGGCTGTTTCTGCCGCTACCTCACGTAATTATTCATAGTTCTAATTATTATTGATATAATACCAAAACTGTGTGGTACAAAGCTATGTGAAAACCAGATGCTTGTCTTAAAAATTCCCTAGCTGCAGTCCTAAGAATGATGACTTGTAGGTGAGACAGTAAACTGCAGCGGGACCTGTAAACGGACCAAGTAAACTGCAGCGGGATCTGTAAACAACCACCACCATCACAATGAATAAAAGAAGGAAATGGGATGATGGAAGGTGACTATGGAACAAGGTTTGGCTTTGTCTCTTTCAGTCCTTCTTTTCACTTCCCTTCCCCTTGCAATCCCTTCTCCCAACAGATGTTGCTGTGTCTTAAGAAAGTAAATTCTTTGACTTTCAATTCACTTAG